ATATTTAGTTTGAGAGTAAACCCTATGTTTATGTCATTTTAAACTTTCCAATGTAAACGAAAACCTCAAGCTTCGAACATAACACAAGTACAATATCAACACAGAAAATATAAGTAGATTATCCGAACAGTTAACTTTTGCTAACTTATCAAAAAAGAAAGAAAGAAAGAAAGAAATTTTGCCCAACCTTCTTTAATTCATAAAAGGTGTTAACAACTTTTCCAGACCATGAATCCAAGACAGAAATGGCAATGGCTTCAATATCTGGGACCAAGTTCCGGGTAACATCCAAGGACAATGAAGCTTGAACCAATCTTCTTATTTGTGCATGGTAGTCGTTTTGGTGAAAGAAAAGTGCTGAAGGACCAATTAATTTTTCTTTACTTTGAGGGTAAGTGGGTTTAAACAAGTGTGCCTGAGTCACCAACACAAACCTCACTGCCTCTGGGCTAGATAGCATTACACAAGGACTTCCAAGTATGTGAGTCTTGAAAACTTCTCCATACCTATACGTATATATAAATATATACACCATATAAATTAATTATATAATTAATTGAATTATTAAGATCATAATTCAGTCTTGAAAGTAGTAGTGAATTTGATTAATTACCTGTTTTGCCTAGTGGCAAAGAAGACATTTGGGTTTTGAGAGTAGAGTTGCAGGGTTTCACCTAGATAGGGCCAACCCATAGAGCCTGGAGGTAGATTGGGTGTGGGTTTTCTTGATCTCAATTGTTTTGCAAGTAAGAAGATGAATGAGAGTAGAGCCAAAAGAAAAGGATAGTAGAGAAGAAAAGTGTTCATATCTGAAGACACTCTCTCTGACTGAGATAGCTAGCAAAAGGCAGTGAGTAAAAGTGTGGCCTAAGGGATGGGTTCTGCTTAATTATATAGGGTGAGTAGAAGGCAGATAGTGACAATATGATTATGTGAGTTATTCTCAGCCATCCAGTTTCAGTGGACACTACTTGCTTGCCGGCTACTTAGGCAAATTGGATGGGTCTAAATACTACAATTTTTTAAACCAAATTTTGGTGATTAAATGATGCAACATGTTTTATTTATTTAAATTCAAACTCGCTTGTAAATATGAGTTAGGTTAGTTCTCAAGAATGAATCACAGATAAATAGGTCCAAAATAGACTGGGCGCTATTACGGTGATTATTGGCGTCGAGGATGAGGTGGGTTATGGCACTAAACGTTTTCCTTGTTTCTTTTTTTCTAGTGTTACCACACTGCAAAAATCACATGGACATTAGATTTGCACTTGATGTTTGGTTTGGTTTATATAGCTACACTTGCATGTCAAACTTGTTTAGGGGTCATTAATCGCATATGGAACTGTATACATAACAAACATCGAAACTTCTAGGTTTTTAGAGCAACTCCAGCGGCAAGCCCAGTTAGAGGCTGGGGGGAGAAAAAAAAAACCCCAGTTCCAGCGAGGAGCCCAAGTCTGGGTTGGAAGTGGGACCCACGAAGTCGGGTTGGCCCTCAGGCTAGTTCAGCCCGAGGGCGGGGCTGATGTCATTGCTGACGCCAAGTTGGCGTCAGCCCACTCATTTGATTTTTTTTTTTCTGTTGCCACGTGGCGTCATCTGGGTTCTCCAATCTGATTTTTTCTTCCAATCCAACAACAACCAATTTTTTTGCAATAAAATACTGAAAAAAATTCGGAAATTTTTTTAAAAAATACCCAAAAATTAATGAATTTTTTTCTATAAAAATACCAGCCAATTTTTTAACAAATTTATCTGAAATTTGAAATTGAAAATTTTATCCGATTATGAGATATAAATAGGATTGACATGTAGGAACCCGAAAATATTATCCAAATTAATTATTGAGGTAAAAAAATTTGTAAAAAAACAAAAAAATGAATAATAATTGCACTTTGTCATGGCAACGGGTGGAAACACAATACTATTTGCAAGGGCAACCAATATTCACGTGAATAGTGTCTGCCCTATCTCCCCCCTTGTCATGGCTAAGGGCACTTCCAGCAGCCCCCTAGGGCTCGGGCTGAGGGGGGGGAAGAGCCCAAAATCATTTTCCAGCAACAAAGGCTGGCCCGGGTAAGGTGGGGTCCACGAACCTGGGCTGGCCCGAAGGCGGAGGGAGCCCGAGCGCTAGCTCAAAGGCGCAGCTGATGTCATTGCTGATGCCAGCGTGACGTCAGCAGGCGCAATTCAAATTTTTTTACCGTTGGCGCGTGCAATGCATGAGCCAACGTTAAAAAAAATTTGCTACGCGCGCGTCAGCTTTCCTCCAACGAATCTATACCACGTGGCGTAATCTGGTCCTTTCGATTCGTGTTGTCATCCAATCCAACGGCCTGGAATTTTTCAAGGCAAAAAATTATGAACAAAAATTGTAAATTTTTTTATAAAAAACCCCAAAAAATACTGAATTTTTTTTCTATAAATACCAATACCTACTCTTTACTTTTAACAACAAGTTAGTTTGCTTGCCTTTTCATTTCATTGTATTTTAATGTTTTGTTTTAAAAATTAGTTGTAATTCATGTATTTTATTTTATTAGTAGCATTGGTTTTCTTTGAGTTACCAAAGAAACTATTAAATAAAATTCCTTTTTATTCAAAACATTCCATACATAAAAAAACTAACCACAACCAAGCATTAAATATATAAAAAAAACTTATTTGAAATTGAAATTCAAATGAAAAGTTGAAATTCAAATGAAATTTAGATGAAATTTAAATGATTTTGAAAATTTGAAATTTATCTGAAATTTGAAACAAAAATTTATCTGAAATTTGAAACCGAAAATCTTATCTGAATATTTTATCAGAAAATCTCATCCGAAAATATTCTCCAAATTAATTGTTTAGGTAAACAAATTTGTGAAAAAAAAATAAAAAATTAAATAGTACTTGCCTTTTGCCATGGCAACTGCTGGAAGTGCAACTTACTTTTTGCAAGGCATACACTATTCTCGTGAATAGTGTCAGCTCTAGCCCCCCCTTGCCATGGCAAGAGTTTCACTGCTGGAAGTGCCCTAAGAGCAACTTCACCCATTTGTCATGGCTAAGAGCAACTCCACCCATTTGCAAGGGCATGACATCTGCCGAACCACGTGGGGACTTAAGTCGGTGGTGCATACATGGAAGTACTAGAATGGGATCCACTCCAGCTCGTCGGTCCTTGATACATTTCTGAAAAAGCTCGAGATGTCAATCTCAACGGTTAGGACGTTAGGTGGCTATCATCTGATTTTAATGTACATGAATGGCGCCTAAAAGATGCTAAACGAGAGAGTTGGGACCAGAGAGTCTAGAAGCTACATGACCCAGGCCCTTGGCTTTGGGCCTTGTGGTTGAAAACACATTGGATTTTATCACTTTGTGGGGAGAGATTCAACCGAACCAAGCCGATACCACATAAAATTAGTCGAGTTTTCATGAATAATGATATATAAGTTATAACAAATGAAGAAGAAAAAAAGAGAGATGGTAAGTAAATCGCGTGGAAAGAAATGAAACACCACCATTTCAGTTGGATTAATCTCGAAATTTTGATGCGTGGAGACCTTAATGTTTGGTCTCTCTCACATATAAACAAATGAAACACTGTGACTTCAATTGGATCTGAAATCATCTCCAAAAAATTTCCCAGGCTTGCCTCTTGGAGGAAGCTCAAACCACGAAGCTTATGAGTTATGTCACTTCTCTGGAGTTGTGTTGGGTGATTTTATGTGATATGATATGAGGTTAGTTACTATTGGAACTTGGAATGGTTTAGGCAAGAGTGAAAATATTTGTAGCACCATATTTATCTTTTAAAGGCAACAAACGTGGTTATTTGTACAAGTATTCATAGCCCAATCCAAAAGAAGATGATTTCAAGCTAATATTTATACAATTCTCATTGTTTTTTTTTCTCTTCTTCAAACTCAGGTAAACACATCAGACTTTGCCAAATCCTTCCTATTAATATCATATCACTGGTATTTGTTATCTTCCATACTGATCAAATGAAGCACATTAATCCCATCCTTGATCTGATCATACCCTATAAACTTCTTTAATGGCACCCAATACTCGATCTGCAGCATCAGGCCCAAACAATCTAGGAAAATTGGACCCCAAATCAATCTCAATAGTCTTCCTCTTGATCAAATCATCCCTCTTCTTTAGGTAAGCCCTCTCATCCTCTTCCACTTCTCTCTTCCCACAAGCACATTTATCCAGCCAAACTCCCAGCACCTCCTTTGCAATGGGACCCACATGGTTCTCTATGATCTCCTCCAGGCTTTGTCCCTGCCCATCAGCCTCCGCTTCAATCCGAACCAAAATGGCTGTTGGTGACACAACACTGCGGATGTATAGCGATGAAGAGAAGTAGGGTTTAGCCTCAGCAAGTTTGTCAAGCCTTTGCCTGGGTGTGTCCAGTTGGGTGTCTTGATAAAATGTTTGCAGGTAGTCAGGGTGGAGGACAAGGTCTTTTCTGGGAGGCAAGTCAAGGATGAGGACCAGGGAGGTTGGGCTGCTCTGGATGAGCTCAAGTAGGAAATTTGGTGCATCTGTGGTCTGGTTCAGATAGGATGAGAGGCTTGTAATGTTCAATGCTCCACCTGTTGGTAGCTCACAGTGCAGCCAACTTCCTAATATGAAATCAACCTGAAACATAAATGTCAATTAACAGGATAAAATTATTCATCCCCAGATCGTGTACATGTAAGAATCAGAAATTTTATCTACAAACTTCAAGAGCAAAGTCTAAGGTATACATACTAAGTTTTATTTTACTTTTTTGGTATATGGAGTTAGGCAAAAGATTGTTTCGTACCGGCTACTAATATGCAGTACTCGTTACATTGTCGATATTCAGTCAGTATTTTTTTATGCAACTGATATTTAGGGAGGTGCTTTCGAACACAAGACTTTGGATGCAGTGTAATTATCGTAATCACTTGAGCTACAAGCGATGTAGATTCTACGTACTACACTTGTTATATTACATTTTACAATTAAAAATTTAAGGGATGTCCAACTTCAGGACCCCCCCCCCCCCCAAAAAAAAGATCCATAAATGAAAGAAATCAACCCAATTTACTCTCATAAAACCCCAACAATCCCTTTTATGTCAAAAGCTAATCACTCATTTTTAAACCCAAGTGCAATGAAGTGTCCAAGTTAGCACCAAATAACCACACATTGTTAAGTAGCATAGGTAATTAATTATATGCATCACCCATGATTTTGTTTGTGGGAAAAAAAAAATAGAACAAGAAGAAACAGAGGGTTTGAGAAAAATTACAGGGGAGGAGGCGAGGCCGGATCTGATGTGGAGGGAGGCATGGTTGGTGCCAGTCTCGTTCTGATAGTATTGTACGTCGGGAGGGAGGGTACAAGGGAGGAGCTGCGAACCAAGTCGCGTCTCTAATGTCGATACAAGATCAACCATGAGGTTCCTGTGTGGGCCCGACACGTAGGGGAAGTCTGTGAACTTTGTTTTGCTCGCTTGGTTGTTAAGGTCCATGGGAGATGATGCGGCGCGGATGCAGGAGGGCCTTGAGAGAAGTGTAGATG